TCTTGATGTTTTCAAGGTGTTTTCTAAGAGATTCAATCATATAACAAGCTAAGGTAAGAGTACTTACGTATTAGAAGCTTGTAAGGGTGATTAAGGACCAAAAACACTAATGTGTGTTCTTGGTGAAATGAAGAACACTTGAAGATCTATACAAAGATGATTTCCATGGATGAAATATATAGATGAAGCTAGTTGAGAGTGTGTATCAACTAATCAAGGGATAGAACACTTACACTTTTGAAGATATAAAATGAAAAGTTGGATGATACTTGAGAGAGAATGGGGGAAAATCGGCCAAGGAAAGAAAGAATGAAAGAAATGGCCAAGACTTATATATATAGAGGTGAGTTTACGACCCACTTGGAGTTTACGGCCGTAAATTCTAAGTGTTGTGGCCGTGAACTCATGTTGGTGGTGTTTAAGGCTTGAATGTTGTTCAGTGTTTCTAGTAGGTAGTTCCTAACACCCATTCCTTGAATGTATTGAGCCCAGAACACTCAAACAGACTCTAAACAGTGCTAAATGATAGCAGGAGCGAGTCTGAATTTGATTGAATTGAATGGCTCTTAAGGCAAAAAATTTCAGGTTGTCACACTACAAGCCAAAATTTGTTTCTTATAAGGCCTCAACTTCAAGTACAACTAGTCACCTTCCATGTACTCTCCCTCTCCGTGTTTCTTATTAGCTTTAACTTGTAGTTTTTGTTGGGCTTGAATTAGTTGCACCCAAAGATCATCCAGTATGGCATCACATCCTAAAACATTTGGTCAATGGAATCAATCGGGGTGTGCTATCCCTCATACCTTAGAATTAGAGGAGAGTCACATTCATAAAGAGCCTTAAAGGGAGTGTTTTTCATAGATGTATGGTAGGAGGTATTGTACTAATCCCTGCCTAATCCAACCACGGACCCATTGTTTTGGTTTTTCCGAATATAAACATCGAAGGTAGGTCTCGAGACATCTATTCACCACCTCTGATTGCCCATCGGTTTTGGGGGTGGTAAGGCATGCTTCTTTTGAGTTGAACTCCATAAACTGGAAATAACACTTGCCATAAATTACTAACAGAGATGTGATCCCTATCACTTATAATGTATTTAGGCATCTCGTGTAATCTATCAACTTCTTTGAAGAACGTGTTGGCTAGAGTGTTGGCTGAAAACAGGTGGCAGAGACGGATGAAGTGTGCATGCTTACTCAACCGGTCTACAACGACCCAAATGGTGTCCCAACCCTAGAATTTGGGCAACCCCTCAATGAATTCTATAGTGATTTATTTCCAAATTTGGGTGGGTATAGGTATCGGTTGTAGAAGCCCCATAGGAAAATGGTGAGAGATTTGTGATGTTGGCAGATTTGACTGTTTTATATATAGTCACTGATATATTTTCTCCTTCCAGCCCAATATACTTCCATGGTAGCCATATGTTACGTCTTTTACTCTCTTGGATTCCCACTGATAGGATTGTTGTGGACCTCATGAATGATTTCCGCCTTCAATGCTGACATCGGTTGAACCACTACTCATCCCTTAAAAAGAATGTTGTTTTGAAAGATTTCTAAGCCTTTGTGGGAATTGGGATCCTCCATGATATCCTTTTTACTGTTTTGTATGAATTTTTCCCCATCAATCTCGGCTTTCAGCTTGCCTCATAACTTCCAAACTCCAATGCTCATCGAGTTACACATGGGTGGAGGATTCTTTCGGGAATGAACATCGACTAACCGATATGTATCGAATTTCAAATCGAATCACACCAACTTTGATACCCATGTTTTTATAGTCGTGGTCGATCATTATTTGCTCCAATATGTATTTGAGGCTTTGTTGATCCCTTCGAACTACGGACCTCCTCCCTAATAGGTAAGGCCTCCATTTGAGCACCGATTTCACTATAGGCATAAGTTCTTTCGCATAAATGAATTTCACCCGAGCCTTGTCTCTTAAGTTATAGCAAGTAATTGATCAATTCTCTTGGGAAAAAACATCCCCAACCCATAGTCAGATGCGTTGGTCTTGACCTCGAAAGTCTTTTTAAAATCTGGCATGACAAGCACATAAATTATGGTTATGGCAACTTTTACCTATCAGAAGGACTTACCGGTAATGCCATTCCATCCAGATTAAACATTCCTCAATTGATCGTTAGTAGATTTGCTATATCTGTGTAACATCCTACAAACATGACACAAATTTTGGTTTTCCAAAATCCATAAGTTAAATAAAAACATAGTTTCTCAAAACCATAAACATATATAAGAGTATCTCAAAATCATAAGTCATATAAAAATCTAGGATGATGTGCACAATCAAGCCTTCGCCTTACCCCTGTCCTCTGAAGTACCTGAAACCATAAAATCAAATTATAAGCCAAAGCTTAGTAAGATTCCCCCAAAACACCACCACAAAAACATATAACAACATGCATACCGGGTCTATAACCATCAGACTGGAATACCCCTGAGCCCACAACATGAGTTTGGATTGCCCACCGAGCCCACAACTCATGTTTGGATTACTCCCAGGCCTACAACATAAGTATGGCTTTCCTTTCTGGCCCTCGGCTTCTGCCTGGATTGCCTCCGAGCCCACAACATAAGTTTAGCTTGCCTTTCCGGCCCTCAACTTATGTTTGAATTGCTCCCGGTTTGTTGGCTTCCACACAGAGCAGTATTGCATCAATCCAATCGTACTATGTCGACATATGCAACATATAAACATATAACTAATAAATACAGGTAATCATACAGATCTACCAATCTAACAGATCACTATAACAAATCAACATCCTATAAACCAGGATACATAACACAACCTAGTGGTCCTACATTAGTGCCTTCGACCCATGAGTACAGTGAGGGAAACTTAACTCACAAAGTGGAAAGCAGATCTACCAATCTAACAGATCACTATAACATATCAACATCTTATAAACCATGATACATAACACAACCTAGTGGGCCAAAATTAGTGCCTTCGACCCACGAGTACAGTGAAGGAAACTCAAACTCACATAGTGGAAAGCAGCTAAACTAGTCACTACTCCAAATACCATCTCTACATACCACCTATGCAATAAACAGGGATCCAATCTCAATCTATAATTCAAATTACCCAAATGACCTAAATTCAAACTTTATCAAAGTCAACGTTTAACGGTCAAAGGTCAAGGGTCAATGTCTACATCAGGATGAGTATGCCATGCGTACTCCATCTCTACGCATGGCATAGAGTCCCATCCCCAATTACGGGGCTCAATCAGGTTACGCGTTGCGTACCCGTAGGTACGCCCTGCGTACTCAGTTAAATCCCAACTTCTTCATTAAGCACTTATTCCCTTAAGGCCTTACATCTAAATCTCATATCTAACCCCAAATTACATCATAAATCATAAAGTTTCCAACTCTATGACTTTACAAGGCTAGAAAGTTCCCAAAACCAAAACCCTAACTTATCACATGATCCTAAGCTCCATAACTCATGCATGGGAGGAAAGAAACGACCAAGATGACATTTTTATGACTCCATGCACTAAAAACATCAGAAAAAGACTAGTCATAAGGTCTGGAGTAGTTCATACCCATCTAGACTAAGAATATGGGACAAACAGGAAAGAAATCAACAAACTTACTGCAACAATGGTGATGGAGAGCAAACTGTGATTCAGGTAATGGATTTTCTTGAAAGAAAACAGAAGAAAGAAAAGGCGAGCCTAAAGAGTCCAAAACCTGAGAAAGAATAATGAAATTTTTACATATGAAAATTCAAAAATATTTGAGAATATAAAAATCAAGAATCATACATGGTTGAAACAATGATGTTCAACCAAAGCGTCTATAGGAAAGGTAATTGAAGAGTCAATAATCAAAGGATAGTTGAAAATAGCAAAAAATATCCACTTGGGTATTTACACAAGCATATTGTGTGCACATAGTTCACATGTTTACTTCAAAGTATATAAGCATAGATTTCAACCACTTCTATCAAGAAAAAAATGATGACTTTCATTTAGTGATGATGAAAATGTCTTATGAAAAGAGATGAAAGATAAAGATGCCTAAATCAAAGAGTGGTACCTTAGGTGGAGTTTATAGGAGATCGTAGATGGATACACCAACGAGATCTCGCCCTACACCAGGTAGGAAACAAACAAAAAATTAACTTTCTTTGGCCTGTTCTTCGTCGAGATGGAGGCAAACGCCATAGAGAAAATCATTGGTTGTAAACAAAGATAAAAATCAATGGATTCAAACTGCATAACCGGTTGATCGAGGAAATGAAGCTATTGGGTTTCCATCGATGTACTGAGAAATACAATAATTAAGAAGACATATTGATTTGCAAGCGTATCGTCGGTGCACAAATTAAGGCTTTAAATTTGGGAAGGATTCGAATTTTAAATTTGATTTTATGGATTAAGAAAACTGGTGAAGCTTTCAGCGGAAACATTGATGGACAACAATTATGATCGGCCACAACATGGGATAATGTCATAAAAATCCTTAATTTTGCAAGAAAAAGTTGGTTTTACCATCCGGTGGGTTTTTGGGTCATTAATGCCGCATACTTGTCTTATTTTTTGCGTTTATGCCAATTAACCGGTTGCAAGAGGGTTTACCGGTTACCCCTCCACTTACCCCTCAACTGTAGAAGACTTTTCCCCCGTTTCTTAACCAACGACGAAATTAACCCCGTTTGGTAAACGTTAGACATAGAGCTCCACACCCTCTCTCTGAAACGTCAACTCAATCTAAGTAAATCATACTCTACTGAGAAAAATCTTGGGCTTTTGGGAGGGAATCATCATAAAATTTGGGTATTTGAAGAGGATTAGGTCTAGACTGTTGGTATAGTTGTTCAAGTAGGAAGAAAGTTGGGTGATAGTCTCGTTGAGTTGTTGAACCAGTAAGTATCTAAAATCCATGATGAAAGCAATTATCTACTTAAAATTCTTCGATTTTGTTTGTAAAATCTGTTTGATTTTGCAGGTAACTGTAATGGCTTCATCGGATGACGTTTTCAAAGAACTCTTTGCTAGTATATACAAGCCCTTCTCTGGACTAAATGAAATGGATTATGAGCTCCATGGTATTTATATGGATCACGAACCAGAGCATGAGTTCGTGACTGCACTTGATAAATGTAGGGACGTCTTTCTTAATGTTCTACTTAATGATGAAAACTTAAGGAATTCAACCATGGCTGATGAAATTAGAGCACAAGTTTGTCATGCTAATGAATGGCAAAGTCATGAAGAAGGTGAACAAGTGGCGGTGATGAATAAATACAGAATTCATGATCCAAACACACCATGGGATAAGATGGAACCTAAGGTAGGTGATATGTTTGTAACATCCGGATTCCCAGGTATTCTATGTTGTTGATTATTTTTGAGTTAGAGAGAGGGACTCGACGAGTTGGAGCTTAGACTCGTCGAGTAGGATCGCGATTTGTTGACTGGATTAATGAATGGACTCGACGAGTCGGAAGGGGTGGACTCGACGAGTCCGCGCTATGAGTTGAAACCCTAAATCCCCGGGCTTGTACCCTATTTAAAGGACCCTATGGCCCTTAGTTGCGGCTACCTTCGTCCTTGAGAGCACCCAGAGCATCTGTGAGCCTTGAGAGTGAGAGAAGAGCCATTGTTCACCATTTCTTGCGTGTTTTAGCAAGAAGGAAGGATGTAGAACAAGAAAAGCGGACTGAGGAGCTTGGATCCACTTCTATTTGATCAGAGGAAGTTGTTGGAGGTAACAATTTGAGCCATTCTCGTATTTATAATAATTCTAGTGGAATCTAGGGTTTCTTTATGCCTTTTTTGGTTTGAATCTGGAGTATGTGAGGTCCCAAGGAGAAATGGTTCATAGATCTGGACCTTAAGAGGTCCAGAGAGTCCTTACCACTATGCTTTATGCCATACCTTTTGAGTTAGGATCCTAGGAGGCCATTTTAGAGGTTATTTCACCAAAAGAAGCTTTGGGGGTGTTGCATGTGTACCAAGATTCGACCTTTACGTGATTATCATGCTTGGGAAGGTCAGATCTATAGGTTAAAGAAGCAGGTATAACCTCAGAAGGTCATTTGAGTATGATCATGGAAGCAAATCACCGAGTTCATAAGTGGACTCGACGAGTCGAGTCGGGGTTGCCCTGTGATTCGAGACAGGAGGAACTCATCGAGTGAAGGGGATGACTCGATGTGCCAAGCAAGGCTAGAAGGATGCAGAAGACCCGTATGAACTCGCCGAGTCACTCATGTGGACTCGACGAGTCGGGTCAAAGTTTGACCGTTGACCTTAGGGTTTTGGTCAAGACTGATTCAAGAGAGTTCAGGGAGGGGTAGAATGGCCTTCTACCCAATCTTTAGAGATGAGACTATGAGAGAGTATTGATCGGGAATGTTATTTGAATGATAGTTGGAGGCTAGGTCGGGACGTTGAGCACGAGAGTTTATCCAACTTCGTTTGAGGTGAGTCTTCTCACTATACTATACCTGGAAGGGTAGCTATGTGTGACCGGAAGGTCTTATATGATATGAGATGTATGTGTTACATGCTGTTATTTAATATGTATGTGTTATGTATGTTATGTATGATAAGGACAGGAAGGTCAAAATGATATGGACCGGAAGGTCAAGATGACATGGACCGGAAGGTCAGGAGGTTACGGATCGGAAGGTCGATATGGGTAGGGCCGGAAGGTCTACCGGGATTCGAGACGGAAGCCCCTCAGACACTTGGACCGGAAGGTCCCACAGAGTTATGGCCTGGAAAGGTGTATGTGTTGTATGTGGTATTTTGGGGAACTCACTAAGCATTTATGCTTACAGTTGTTGTGTTATGTGTTTCGGGTACTAGCGAGGATCGCGGGAAGGCGCCGACATGATCCGTACACACTCATAGAGATTTTGTTTGAGATTTGGGGATTTTTTTTCTTATGATAACATGGGATACATTGTGTTTGATATTGTTTTTGATGATTAAAAGTATGATTTAAAAATGAAAAATTGTTTTGAAAATTCACGTTGTTACAAGTTGGTATCAGAGCCTTGGTTTGAGGGATTCGGGTGCATCTTCGGGTGTATCTGAACTCAAACTGAGGATTTGAGAAAGTTTTTCATAAAATAAACAGATTTTCTAAAGAAGTAAAAGGATTTAAGAAAAGCAGAAAGAAGCAGTGTGTACGGTCAGCCAGCACCCGAATGGTGATTTCCCAAAATACCCTTACATTATGTGTTATGAGATATGTTATGATATGTTATGCTAAAGTAGGCTAGGTATTCATATTAGGACTAGAGTGGCCTGATTTTTGATGCCTTAGCCTAGCAAGATTTCTGCTGCTATGAGATGCTTGAGAGTGAGTAGGTAGCAGTGAGGAGCTTATGAGAGGACTACCGAAGGGTAGCCTATGCTAGTGAGATGTAGAGTACTTGTGATCTAGGATCCAAGGAGGAGGACTTGGAGTGAATACTGATGCGGTATGGACGGTAGTATAGGGCCCGTATTACTGAAGACACCGGATCAGTGCGCAAACCAAGTAAAAATCCTTAGGCTACTAGGGGACAAGTAGGGTTGAGTATTGAGTGCGAGTATGCTCGAGCGAGTCTCTAATATTTTTATGTTGTATTTCAGAGACATCATGGTTGGGACACCCCACAGACCTGAGACGAGCGGTGTGAGTGACGAGGAGCTTCGTCAGATGATCCACGATGAGGTGGCATCGGCGATTCGAGCCGAGATTCCGGAGATGTTTGTGTCTATCAAGGCCACATTGATTGAGACTTTTGATGAGCGGTACGCCACGGTTAATGAGGTTGCGGCTGCTGTTGCTACCGCAGCTGTGGCTGCTGCTAAACCTCAGGGAGGTGACTCGATGTAGCTTCGGGAGTTCAGCAACACGAAGCCACTAGAGTTTGACGGGACGCAGGATCCGATCACTGCTATGAGATGGATTTCTGATATCAAGGGATGCTTCTACACGTCTTCATGTCCGGAGCATATGAGGGTACGGTTCGCGCTGAACCAGCTCCGCTTGGGAGCGAAGGATTGGTGGAAGTTCGTGACGGCGAGCTTCACTCTTGCGGAGATTTCAGAGGTGACCTGGGAGAGGTTCACCACCATGTTTAGAGACGAGTATGTTCCCCCGGTGGAGAGGGAGTGACTGGCTCAGAAGTTCTTGTCCCTTAAGCAGGGCGTTGATTCTGTTACTGTGATCACCAGAAAGTTTCATGAGTGGGCGATGTTCTGCCCTGAGCAAGTGTCTACCGAGAAGGCACGCATGAGCCGGTATTTGGGCGTTTTGAGGAGGGATATTCGGGAGTTCGTGTCGAACTCGAGTTACCGGACATTTGCTGAGCTCCAGGAAAATGCTCAGAAGAGGGAGATTGAGTTGGAGACTCAGGCCAGGGAGGAGGCCGAGTCTCAGGGGAAGGATCGGCGACCGAAACAGTCTCAGCCGGCAGCCAAGCGGGCAAAGCCCGCCGATTCAAGATCTGGAGGCCAAAAGGGCTGCACTTGCGGGAACTGCGGCAAGGGACATGATGGAGTTTGTCAATCAGGTTCTTGCTACAAATGTGGCAAGGAGGGGCATATAGCCAAGGATTGCCCCAAGGGATTCATGGTTTGCTTTCATTGCAACCAGACGGGCCATCGGAAGGCCGAGTGTCCACAGCTGCTACAGGGTCAGTGCAGGGGTCTGTGCGAGTTACTGAGGGATGGTCAGTGAAGGCCGAGGCACCGAAAGCTCGCGGGAGAGCTTTCCAGTTGACAGCGGAGGAGGTCCGTGCAGGGCCTGATGTCGTGGCTGGTACGTATTCTTTCATTTATTTATGCTAAATTGTGATGAGATGCTTATTTTATGATATGCGTAGGTACTTTTCTTGTGAATTATGTACCTACTTTGGTGTTATTTGACTCGGGTGCGAGTCGGTCATTTGTGTCTTTAGCGTTTAGTCAGCACATCAATATCCGGCGAGATGCGTTGAGTCGACCTCTAAGAGTTTGTATAGCTGACGAGCGAGCAGTGTATGCTACGGATGTGATTCGAGGATGTGTACTCGAGATCTTCGGTGTTGAGTTCCCGATAGATCTGGTCCCGATTGCGATAGGGGACGTGTGTGTCATAGTGGGCATGGATTGGTTAAGCCTAATTGGGGCTGTTATAGTGTTGGATTAATGTCTAAGTCCATAACTATATTTGGTATGTACTTGACCCGACCCGGCATGGTCCATTTGGGTTGCACTTCACCGACACAATTTATATGGATAATATTTTGAGAATAGTATATTTATGATTAATATTAATATATTATAAGTTCTAATATATTAATATGGAATCATATTATTTAATTAGTATTGATCAAGAATTAATTTAGAATTAATTAAAGTGATAAAAAATGAACTAATTAAATATGGACTCTTATATATATGGTATGGGCCAAGTTCATTTAGGTTGGGCTAAGCTTCCATGGATAGTCCATGGAGTGTTTAACCCATGGATCATATGAAATGAAAGGTCATGGGTTTAACCCTAGTCTCCATACTATATAAAGATGTCATTGGTTGGTGAAATTGGCACTAGTGTGGTTACACAAGAAGGGCTAGCCGATTTCACTAGGGAGAACCAAGTATTCATATTCTCTAAAGTCTTCCAAGGTGTCTTGGTGATTTGTGATTCCACTTGAGGCTTCCACACTATTGGGGCTAAGCTCTTAAAGCTTGAAGACATCAAGCTACATCAAAAGATATGTCATCTAACTAGAACTTTGTAGTATAAGAACTTCATAATATGCTAGTTAGGATTAAAGCCTTGGAAAGTTCTTATTTGCATGTATAATAGAGAAAACATAGATCCAAGGTTTATAGGGTTGCATGTACACCATAAGAGTGTTAGAATGCTCAAAACCCAACATATAGACTACGAGCGACAGTCGATGACGATACGAGACGCTAGTGGGGGAGTACTTACGGTGTACGGAGAGGGTACCCGATGTGGGTCAGCATTCTGTTCGGCTGCCAGAGCGAGACAGAGTTTACAACATGGCTGCAGCGGGTTCGTACCCTATGTGATAGATACACAAGTGGTCGTTGGGAGGCCAAGTTCGATTGATGATGTTCCGATTGTAACGCCCCATTTCTGGTATGTGATTTAAATAAAGTTTTTTTCATTTCTTGAGGGGTACTCGACGAGTCTGTAGCCCGACTCGTCGAGTAGAGACGGGATGATCAAGCGAGTTAAGCTGGCTACTCGACGAGTCCATACGCTGGACTCGGCGAGTCCGCCTGTCTGGATGAAGCCCTAATTTTAAGGGTTTGCACCCTATTTAAACACACTTATACGCCCCAACCTTGCCTCTATCACTCTTAGAGCATCTCTTACTGAACCCT